GTTGTTATCTGAGAACGTACCATGGAGATTCCATATGCCCTGCTGAAGCAATTTTAGTAGGTGTTGATAACTCATTTTCACAACAGGTTTTATGGCAATCAACAGTGTTTCGACCCTCAGTTTGAACATCTGATCAAGAAGGTTTTTAGAATAAGAGCCTTATTCTATTGAGGTCCACTAAGGTCTCCATAACACATGAACCAAACCCTAAAAACATTTCTTGCTACTCATCTACAATAGAATTGCAAATTATTTGTTTGATCACCTGAGGCTAACAATGGCACCTCTCCTGATAACACTTTTTTTTTCACAAATTAAAGAAAGGAGGAATTTGTGTTAAAAATAAAGGAAGGAGTAATTTGTGTTAAAATAATAAAATATGTTTTCTTATTCTTCTGGGAAGAGAGATAACTTTCTAAGAAAATTGATTGATTATGTGAGTTTATACCTGTCTCCTTTCCCTTGGCAAAGGAAGCCTTAGCTTTGTCTTTAATTTCTGAAACGATAACAAGAATATCTTTATGTATTACTTAATAAATTTTTTGATAAGTAAAGTAGCATTGTCACTGTAAAAAAAATAGAAAATGCAGAAAACATAAAGGAGAAAATCATTCCATTATTCTACTACATAAAAGGAATCTCTTTTATTATTAAATGATTGATTGGCTGACAGGTTATTTGCTAAAAAGAAAGCATCCAACTATCCAAGTTGATTTTGGCGCTTTTCTTTTTCAGCACCTGTCAAGGCTGAAATGATCTAATCCAGGGGTGTCCAATCTTCTGGCTTCTCTGGGTCACCTTGGAAGAAGAAGAATTTTCTTGGGCCACACATAAATTACACTAACAATAGCTGATAAGTTTTTAAAAAAATTGCAAAAAAGATCTCACAATGTTTAACAAAGTTTATGAATTTATATTCAGCCACATTCAAAGCCATCCTGAGCTGCAAGCTGCCGATGGGCCATGGGTTGGACAAGCTTGATCTAGTCCTTTGTGAAATCTTTATTTTTATTTTCGTCTACCTCTCCCTCAATAATATATAAGCTCCATGAGGACAGGTGTATTTTTTTTTTTTTTTTTTTTTGATACAGAGTCTCACTCTGTTGCCAGGTGCCAGGCTGGAGTGCAGTGGCATAATCTCGGCTCACCGCAACCTCCGCCTCCTGGGTTCAGGCAATTCTCCTGCCTCAGCCTCCTGAGTCAGGAGGACTCAGGCATGCGTCACCATGCTCAGCTGATTTTTTGTATTTTTAGTAGAAACGGGGTTTCACCGTGTTGACCAGGTTGGTCTCGATCTCTTGACCTTGTGATCCACCCGCCTCGGCCTCCCAAAGTGCTGGGATTACAGGCTTGAGCCACGGCGCCCGGCCCAATTTTTGTATTTTTTAAAAAATTTTTATTTATTTCTATTTTTATAAAAGATGGGGTTTCACCCTGATGGCCGGGCTGGTCACGAACTCCTGACCTCAGGTGATCCACCCACCTCGGCCTCCCAAAGTGCGAGGATTACAGGTGTGAGCCACCGCGTCTGGCCTAATGTTTGTATTTTTAGTAGAGACGGGGTTTCACCATGTTGGCCAGGATGGTGTCGATCTCTTCACCTTGTGATCCACCCACCTTGGCCTCCCAAAGTGCTGGGATTACAGGCTTGAGCCACCATGCCCGGCCGACAGGTGTTTTTTTTTTTTTTTTTTTTTTTTTTTTTTTTTTTTTTTCTATTTTGTTCACTGTTGTGTCCCCAGTACTAAGAACAAAGTCTGACACTAGAAACCATTCAGTAAGTGTTTGTTAAATAGTGCAGTAATGAACAAGCATGTGTTACCTTTCAAGAGTCCTTGCCCAATTGAACTTATCCTATCTAAGCAATTTTTTATCTTGATACATAAATTAGCATTATAGAAAGAATCTTTCCCTAAGCTTCACATAATGTTGCAAAATCAGAAGCTAAGGGTGTTGAACACCATGGATTTGGATGGTTGGAACAGGTTCCTTTGTTATTAAATGATTGTTCTGTTACTGCACTTCTTGGGTTGTTCCTTCCAAGCCACTTTTCTTTAGTTTTCATTGAAAGGAAAGGCATGGATGGATGGCCATGCCTTCCTTCAACAATTCCTTCTGGCCTCACTGGCCTTTTGAACCTGCCAAACTCTTGTGCAGGACCTTTGCGTGAGTTGTTCCTGTGTCTGGAAGTCTCTTCTGTGATCTTCAGGGGACAGTGCTTTCAACTCTGTGCTTGGCTATCAAATACCAGAGCAGACCCCTGACACGGTAGAGGGGTCTGTGTACACATGCTTATCACTGTCTGATATAATTGCTTAACTATTCATGCATATGGCATTTGTATCTATTACCTCTATTCCCCCGTCTCCCACTAGAATGTTTTCATGAGAGCATGAAATGTTTTTTGTTTACTGTAGTATCCTATAGACAGACTAAATTAGCCAAAGGTTTTTTTTTTTTTTTTTTTTTTTTGGGAACCCTTCATGAATTTGCGTGTGATCCTTGTGCAGGGGCAATGCTCATCTTCTCTGTATCGTTCCAAGTTTTAGTATATGTGCTGCCGAAGCCAGCACAGTAGCCGAAGTTTTAACCAAGAAACATTAGATTTACATGCTATGTGCTAAGTACTAGGAATTTGAAGATGTCTATGAGACTATCCTTGAGCCTCTGTTATGAACAGGCATTGTGAGCGTTGCCAGGGATACAACCTTGAAGGAAGTGAGGTGAAGGTGGGGCACTCTAGGTGGTGAAGACAGATAATTAAAAAAAATTCAAATCATTAGATAATTACAGTTTTGATAGTGCTACAAAGGAAGTCCCAGGTATTAGGAGAACATAGCTGGGATCTGGCTTGGATGATTTTGTTTTAGTAGGTGGCTAGAAAGGTAAGAGTGGGCAGGAGAGGGCTCCCCTCACACCGCACCAGGAAAGTCAGGTGACAATCAGGTGATGGTCAGGCAATTGTCACACTGCCTCTTTAAGATAATAATTGTTCACAGCCAGCACCAGGGAAAGGCAGTTTTCCCTACAGATAGAAAAAAACTGAAACTGGTGATCAGCAGCTTCCTGATGAGATCTCAGGAGCTTAGCAAGTGGGCTCACACATATGCACTAAAAGGCAGAATGGTGGACTTTAACAGGTATATGACCTTCTGCACCCATTCCACAGCGAGAGAGAAGGGTGTCTCAGGTTCGCATGCGTACAACTCCAGCAAACGCACTGCGCATTCTCCCCTCCCAAGTGCTCGCAGGTCATTGTGCATGTGAACAACCCACCCCAAGGGAAGAATCAAGGGAGGAGGGATGGAAGACCCAGAATCATGCCAACATAAAAACCCCTGGTGGCTCACGCCTGTAATCCCAGCACTTGGGGATGCCCAGGTGGGTGGATCATGAGGTCAGGAGTTCAAGACCAGCCTGGTCAACTTGGTGAAAACACGTCTGTACTAAAAATACAAAAATTAGCTGGGAGTGGTGGCAGGTGCCTGTAATCCCAGCTATTCAGGAAGCTGAGGCAGGGAATTGCTTGAACTCAGGAGGTAGTGGTTGCAGTGAGCCAAGATCATGCCACTGCCCTCCAGCCTGGGTGACAGAGCGAGACTCTGTATCAAGAAAGCAAAAACAAAAACAAAAACCAACAAGAAAACAAAAAACAAAACAAAAAATCCCCCAAAAACCAAAAACTAAAACCAAACCAAACCAAAACAAAAAAACCCAAGTCAAAATTTCAAACCCTGCACTTGTACTTCAAGTTGCTTGCTTGGGCCTCTTCCAAGTGTACTTTTTGTTCCTTTTGTTCCCGCTATAAAGCTTTTTTTTTTTTTTTTTTTTCCGACAGTGTCTCATTCTGTCACCCAGGCTGGAGTGTAATGGCGTGATCCCAGCTCATTTCACCTTCCACCTCCCAGACTCAACCAATTCTCCCACCTCAGCCTCCTGAGTAGCCGGGACAACTGGTGCATGCCATGATACCTGGCTAATTTTTGTTTTTGTATATTTTGTAGAGAGGAGGTTTCACTATGTTGCCCAGGCTGGTCTCAAACTCCTGAGCTCAGATGATCCACCTGCCTCAGCCTCCCAAAGTACTAGGATTACAGGCATAAGCCACTGAACCATGCCCCTGCGCTAAAGTTTTTGAGTCAATTTTCACTCATGCTCTAAAACTTTCCTCAGTCTCTTCTTCTGCCTTATGCCCCTCAGTCAAATTTTTTCTTCTGAGAGGACAAGAATTGAGGTTGCTGCAGATCCATACGAATTTGCTGCTTGTAACTTGGATACTTGCCACCCCTAACAGTTTGATGCATTCTAGGTGCCCTATCTAATATTGCTCAGAATATTAGACAGAAAGACAGATGAATTTATTTAGTGCTCTTCAGATGTACGGTATGGGTGCTTTCTTTCTCCATTTCTCTGGAAATGTACAGCCTGTACATTTCCAAACAGAGACACCCACGGACATCTATAGAGCTAAGACAAAGACACAAAGCTCCTAGGTTGATTTTACTTTAAATACAATTCTGTGAAACAGGGATATGAATTGGATATTCTGAAATAAGTCAAATATTTGGATTAAGAAAAAGAATTGCCCTAAAATAGAAATTAGTAATACCACAAAAGACATGGATTTTTTTTTTTTTTTTTGAGATGGAGTTTCGCTCTTGTTACCCAGGCTGGAGTGCAATGGTGCGATCTCGGCTCACCGCAACCTCCGCCTCCTGGGTTCAAGCAATTCTCCTGCCTCAGACTCCTGAGTAGCTGGGATTACAGGCACGTGCCACCATGCCCAGCTAATTTTTTGTATTTTTAGTAGAGACGGGGTTTCACCATGTTGACCGGGATGGTCTCGATCTCTTGACCTCGTGATCCACCCGCCTCGGCCTCCCAAAGTGCTGGGATTACAGGCGTGAGCCACTGCGGCCGGCCCAAGACATGGATTTAATTAAAGTCATTTAAATGCCTGATCCTGATAAAATCATTTTGCTTTTTATGGTTGCAGGCTTCATATGCAATGGTAAAATGCAATTTGAGGAGTTTTTATTTTGAGATGCCATGCTAACTCAATGCCCACAATAATCTCCACGAACCCTTTGATGACACTTTAATTCAAGCCAGCAAAATGGTGAGTGAACTTTATTAGGGACAATACAACATAAAGATAAATTAGTTTAAACTATAAATTTTTCTCTGTCTTACGAATACTTTATTGACCAGACAGCAACTCTTTACTGCCCTCCCCTGATCTGTTGTGGAAATACTGCTTCTGTTGGAGAAAATGAAATTCTTCCGTGATAGTACTAAGAAAAGAAAATTTGGACTTTTCATCCCACGGGCAAACTTAAATTGCTTCTTTTCTGGGATGCAATATCATCTATATTTCAAATTGCTGTACATTCACTTCTCCCCAAAAGTAATAAGAAGAAACCGTAGCATTCAAGTGATGCTATCTTACAGGCCCGGTATCTCCTGAGTGGTGCTAACTTTTCTTCTTTTTCCGGAAATGTTACTCTATCTCATTAAAAAAAGTAGAGGTGGGAATAACTAAATTGAGTCAAGCTCACTCTCTAATATAGTTTTACTTCATGCAAAAGTGACTTTCTATTGAACTTGTGAGTATTTAATTGAATTCCAGTAGCTCAAATACAACTTTATGGGAAATTCGTTGCCCCTGTCTTCCAGCCTGAATGTCAAATTAAAATAGGTGGAGAAGCTGAGAGGGTGTCCTGTTAAAATGGGGCGCTTAGAACATTTACATTCAAATTTAATATTGATATTTTGATCAATATCAAATATATGGAGGTTTTGATCCTATTGTGATGTTATAGCTGTTTGGTTGTAGTTTCTGCTGTTATTTTGCTTTCTGGTCATCTGTAGGCTTTGTACTTCAGTGTGATTTCTGTTTGCTTTAGAATTACCGAATGTTAGAACTAGAAGTGAATCACAGTTAACAAATCAAGTGCGACCCCTTTGTGATAGTTAATACCGAGTGTCAACTTGACAAAGTATTGATTCCAGTTGTGTCCCTGAGGGTGTTGCCAAAGGAGATTAACATTTGAGTCAATGGGCTGGGAAAGGCAGTCCCACCCTTAATCTGGGTGGGCACAATCTAACCAGCTGCCAGCATGACTAGAATATAAGCAGGCAGAAAAATGTGAAGAGGCTGGCCCAGCCTTCCAGCCCACATAATTCTCCGGTGCTGGATGCTTCCTGCCTTCCAAAATTCTTTAGTTTTGGAACTCCGACTGGCTCTCCTTGCTCCCTAGCCTGCAGACAGCCTATTGTGGGACCTTGTGATTGTGTGAGTTAATGCTTATTAAACTCCTCTTTAGATATATGTATCTATTCCATTAGTTCTGTCCCTCTAGAGAATCTTTACCAATACACCCTTGAATTAAAATATGCTGAAACCAAGGTCCAGAGAGTGAAGTGATGTTCAAGGTCAGTAATAACACAGTAAAACAGAGGTTGATTCTGCTACTCCTGATTTTCTTTTCCACGTAGGGCCTTCTTCATGGCCTGAGTTTGGAAAAACTCATCTCCTCTGTGTGTAAACACACTGTGCATTTATCAAACCCTTAATATTGTTGTGCTGCCCCCAGGTGACAAAGATTATCCACTACAGCTGCAGAACTTGGCCATACATGCTCCTCCCTCTGTATTCATTCAGTTGACTAATGTTTATCGAGGTCCACACTATGCCAGCCACTCTGTAGACACTGGAGTTTCAGTAGTAAAAAAACAATACAATATCCCTGTCAAACACATTAAATAACACAGAAGGCTATGGAGATGATAAATCAGAGAAGGGAGCAGGCATATGTGGCTGGAGAATTGCAACTTTAAATCATGTGTTCCCTAGGTTAGCCTCTCTGGAAGTAAGACATTTGAAAAAAGACTTGAAGGAAGTGAGAGCATAAGCCGTGTTGGTGCTGGGGGAGGCATGGCCTGGGCAGAGGAAATGTGAAGATGCCAAGGATCAAGAGGGCACCCCCTGGTTCTGAGGAACGATAAAGAGGCCATTGTGCTCTAAGCTGAGTTAGATGCGGAACATAGAGATAAGCACAGAGCCATGCAAAGGCAGAGAAAGGAAGGACCAGCGGGGCCTGTGGGCTACAGCAAGAGTTTGGTTTTTCTCTGGATTTGGGGAGCACTGGCCTTTTGCGAGTAGAGGTATGGCAGGAGCCTTCAGAAGCGTTTGGAGTCCTCTGACTGCAGCATTGCGAATACACTGGAGTGGGGACCAGCATGGAAGTAGAGAGGCCTAGCATGGGGCCATTGCAATAACTGAGGCAAAGTGACGGCAGTGAGTATGGAGGAGGCGGCTGTGAGGCGAGACCCTGCACCTGTCCTGGAGGTAGGGCCATTAGCCTTTGCTGATGATGCGATGGAGGAGGTGTGGGAAAGAAACAATTAGTTTTGATCCCCAAATGTTCTACCTGGACATGAAAGAATGGAGTGGCCAGTAAATGCATTAAGAAAACGATGAGTCAGAAGCAGATTCTCAGATTCTCAGAAGATGAAGAGCTCAGTTTAGAATGTGTTCATGTTGCCAGTTATCTACGTATTGATTACTTACAGCGCTCTTCCTTCCCTTGTGTAGATCTAAATTAGCATCTGGTATAATTTTCCTTCTCTCAGAAGAACTTCCTTTAACATTTCTTTTAGTCCACATCTGCTGGTGACTAATCCCCTCAGCATTTTCTGAAAACATCTTCATTTTACTTTCAGTTTTGAAAGATATTTTCACTGGAGATGGAATTCTGGGTCAGCAGTTCCTGCCTCCCTCCTACCCCTACCCCAATCAATAAGTTTGGTTGCTTCAGTGTCATCTGACTTTTACAGTTTCTGACAAGAATTCTGTTGTCTTACGGATCTTTGTCCTCTGACTCTATTATACTTTTCTTTCCTGGTTGATCTTAAACTTTTCACGTCGTCATGTGTTTTCAGCAATTCGATTCTAGTGTGCCTTGGTGTGGTGCCCTGTGTGTAAGTCCTAATAAACTCATCTGGTTGTCAAGCTGGACTTGTCCCAGTCATTCTCTGGTCTCTTGGCACCTTCCTAGTTTTTGCGGGGAGAATGTTATAGTCCTGAGTTTTTCTCATAACGGTAGTTTAATTTGATATGCTGGAGGGTATTACCAAAACACAAAGGAAATCTTTTCTCTCTGCTTTACATTTTGTAGAGCTTATCACTGGAACCCAGTATTTTCTTTCTTTAAAAATTATGTACATATATATGTATAAATTATGCACATACATATTTGTAATTTATGTACATTATATATGTATATGTAATTTATGTAAATTATATATGCATCTCTTTCTCTCTCTCTCTCTCTTTCTGTTTCTCTCTCTCTCTCTCTCTATATATGTATATATATATATATATTGCCTGTGACAAAGCTTCAGAAGGTCCTGAGAACATGTGCCTGTGGTGTGGTTTTTTTTTATCTTTCTTCTGTTTGGGATTCCTAAAGTTCCTGGGATATGTGGGCTTATGTTTTCATCAAATTAAGAATATTTTTGATAATTCTTTTTAAAGGGTTTTTTTTTTTCTGTCACTTCCCTTTACTGAGTCTTCAACTACATGCTGTTAGACAGTTTGACAGTGTCAAGCAATATTATTGATAAGGTCATGATGCTTTGTTCATTTTCTAAAAATGTCTTTTTTTCTCTGTGCTTTATTTTGGATATTTTCTATTGCTTTAAGTTTACTTTAATATTTTCAAGTTCACTGATTTCACTTTAGTAGGGTTTAATCTGTTGTTAATCTTTTTCATTATATTTTTAATTTCTGATATTATACTTTTATCTCTACAAACTATATGTAATTTTAAAAATAATATATCTACCACTTCTTCCCTCATAATGTTAATATTTTCTTTCACTTCCCTAAGTGTATGGAGTATAATTATAATAGAATTTGAAATTTTCTGTCTGCTAATTTCATCATCTCTGTAAATCTAGTTCTGTTGCTATTGAGTGACTTTCCTTCTGGTTATGAGTCCTATATCTTGGGTCTTTGATGTCTGTTATTATTATTATTTTAAAAATTATTATTATTACTTTTGAGATGGAGTCTCACTCTGCCGCCCAGGCTGGAGTGCAATGGCACTATCTTGGCTCACAGCAACTTCTGCCTCCCGGGTTCAAGGCATTCTTCTGCCTCAGGCTCTCAAGTAGCTTGGACTACAGGCATGTACCACCACACCTGGCTAATTTTTGTATTTTTAGTAGAGACAGGGTTTCACCATGTTGGCCAGGCTGGACTCAAACTCCTGACCTCAAGTGATATGACTGCCTTGGCTTTCCGAAGTGCTGGGATTACAGGCATGAGCCATCTTGTCCGGCTTGATGTTTGTTGTTTTATTTGAAGACAGATATTGTACATTTTGTGTTGTCAGGGGGTGAATCCAGGGCAACTTTTGGTTCAAACTTAACTTATCCCCAATACTAAGGGGACACTCTTCTGAGCATTTTACCCAATGCTCTACGTATTACAAGGCCTTTCTCCTTTGGCTGGTGGAAACATTGAGTATTTTCCACCCTGTGTGAGTGTTTAGAATTTTTCTGCCTGCTGCTTTTTAAAGGGGTTTCCTCCAGACTCAGATAGCTTTCTGCCACCTGTATTCGCATCAGTACTCAGACAATGACTCAAGGTGCTCTTCTGCAGTTCTTGAATCCTCCCTGCGTCACAAATTCTAGCTGCTTTGGCCTTTCTCAAATGAGATCTCTTCTTTTCTACTCAGTGAGATACTTTGGCTCTGGGTTTCTTCTGTCTCCTCTATAGCCTGGAAACTGTCCAAGCAGTAAGCTGATAGTAAGCATAGGGCTCATTTTACTCATTTTTTTCTTCTCCTGGGGAATCACTGTGCATACTACCAATGTCCAATGGCTGAAAATTATTGTTTCATATATGCTGTCTGATTCACTAGTTGTATAAGGCTAGGATTCTGCTGCTGGTGATTAAATCCAATTTCTGTTATTCCAAATTAGTAGGAAGCAGAAATTCTTAGGGCATTTTAATTTTGGGATACGTCTGTTGAACATGTAAGTACTCATGTCATGTAGGAATTTAGATACACGTGTTTGGAGATCAGGAAAGAGATCGAGATTAGAGATACACATTTGTTACGTGTATTACATTTAATCACATTTTGCCTTGGAAAATTTCTTCCCAATGCTTCCAACCCTTTGTTCAAAACTAAATTATTACAAGTTCTATTTTATCAGGTGTCAATAAGGAGATGACAGGCCAGGCGTGGTGGCTCACACCTGTAATCCAAGCACTTTGGAGGCCAAGGCGGGTGGATCACCTGAGGTTGGGAGTTCAAGGCCAGCCTGATCAACATGGTGAAACCCCGTCTTAAAAAAAAAAAAAAAGGAGATGATAGACTAAATAAACTAAAATAATAGTGTCATTGAATCACTCTTTCTGAGTACGTATTTATTTGTTAATAAGGCCTACCCAGAGTCAATATTTTTGCCAACTAAACTTAGATAAATTTAACCAGAATCGCCACTTCTTTTCTATTAATATCAGCTTCCTGAAGTGCTATGTACAGAAGAAATCTGAGGTCATGCCCAGGTTCAGAGGGAAAGAGTGGCGTGGCTGATTACTTATCTCTGTTGTGGAAGTAGGGAGGAGAACAGAGATGATTGTACCATGTGTTATGCTGCCTGTTTTGGCATAAAACAATAAATTGATATATTTGAGACAAGCGATATACAAACAGCATAATATAGACTATCAACTGTCTTTTTTATTGAGAAAAATATTAGCTATTTATTCAGAACATAAGCATTCCCAGCCCCAAATTAGTTAATAACACAAATTCATGTTGCATTTTCTCTAGTACTACAATGTGGTTGGAAAATACAACATCTCCATATGCAAATCATAGGTAGTTGTAGTGGGACAGGTCCCCCGCCAGGTTACCTAAGGGTGTATGTCAGCCACCCGAACCCTGAAGGCTCGGCGCTGAGCCAAGGCCATGGTGCCTACCCCAGGTGTTCCTGAGAACACAAACATCCTGGAGAATATCTGAGAACATACCAAGAAAAACAGTCTCATTGCTCAAACACAGTCGACAAAGAGCCAAAAAATTAGCTTAAAAGCATCCCACCATCCAGGAGTGCCCCATATGTAAGTAAAAATAAACTTATCTACTCATCAATCAGGACTTCTCTGAGCCATTCTTTGGTCTCTCTGCACCTTCCAGTTTTCTTTTTGAGAAAAGCAAGGGGGTAATCTGCCTCCATGATCCAGTTATCTCCCACCAGGCTCCTTCTCCAATGGAGTTACAATTCGACGTGAGATTTGGGCGGGGACGCAAATTCAAACCATACTGAATATCTAAGCTTATTTCCGAGACCTTGCCTTGTAGCCAAATGATACTCTGGGGTTACAAAACACCCCAGACAAGTCTTGAAAGACCTCAGCCACATTAGATAGACGAATTGTTGGTGATCAATACCCTTCAAACAGGTAAATTTTATCCAGATAACAGGGTCATGATAGTTAATTTTATGTGTCAACTCAACTGGGTTAAGGGTGCCCAGATAGCTGGTAAAACATTATTTTTAGGTTTTTATAGCTGTGTTTGTGGGGGTGTTTCTGGAAGACATTAGTATTTGAATCAGTGGATTGAGTAAAGAAGATCCTCTCTACTAATGTGGGCAGGTATCATTCAATCCAAGGTAGAACAGAAAAGTGGAGGAAGGGCAAATTCTCTCTTTCCCATTGAATTGGGTCACCCATCTTTTCCTGCTCTTGGATGGCAGAGTTCTTGGACTCTGGGACTTACACCACCACCCCCATCTCTGCGTCCCTTTTTTTCAGACTGGGAATTCTGCCACTCACTTTCCTGGTGTTATTAGTTAGGTTTCTCCCAAGGGACAGAATCAATAGGATATATGTATATATAAAAGGAAGTTTATTAGAAAGATTTGGGTCACATATATACATGGTGAAGTCCCATGTTAGGCTGCCTGCAAGCTGGGGAAAGAGAGAAGCCGGTAGAGGCTCAGTCTAAGTCTGAAAGCCTCAAAACCAAGGAAGCTGACAATGTAGCCTTCAGCGTGGCCAAAGGCCCAAGAGTCCCCAGGAAGCTGCTGGTGCAAGTTTCAGAGTCCAAAGACCAAAGAACTTGCAGCCTGATCTCTAAGGACAGGGGGAGTGAAAGCAAGCATCTGGCACAGAAAGAACAAAGAGAGCCAGAAGACTTGGTAGGCAAACTTATCCCACCTTCTTCTACCTGCTTTGTTCGAGCAGTTCTGGCTGCCAGTTGAATGGTGTGCACCCACACTGAGAGCAGGTCTTCCTCTCCCAGTCCACAGACTCAAATGTCAGTCTCCTCTGACAACACCCTCACAAACACACCCAGGAACAATACTTAACCAGCCATCTAGGCATCCCTCAATCCAATCAAGGTGACGCCTAATATTAACAATCACTGCAGGGTCTCCAGTTACGGATGTCAGATGTGGGATTTCCGGACCTTCATAATTGCTGAGTCAATTCTCATAACATATTTCCTCTAATATAGAATTTATATCCATCCTATTGGTTCTGTCTTTCTGGAGATTCCTGACTAATACAACATGAGGTGGAGTTTTCATCTTTCCACACAGGTTACCCATCATGATTCCTCTTCAGTTGACTCAAGCAGAGTTAGTTTCACCTGGGAATTACATTTGCGGTTCTCATTTAATTCAGTTGGACAAGCATTTAACAAGAGCTTACTCTGTTGCAGGATTTCTCAACTTGGCACTCTTGACATTTTGCCTTGACATTTTGTTGTCTAATTCTATGCTGTACTGTGCCATCCTGTGCATTGTAGGGTGTTTAGCAACATCCCTGGCTTTCACTCACTAGATGCCAGGGGTACGTTCAACCCCCCCCGTCTTGATAATGTCTCCAGACATTGACAAATGTCCCAAGAGTAAAATCACTGTACTTGAGAAGCACTGCCCTCCACCCTCACCTCTGTAAATAAACCGTCCTTGAATTATCATATTTTA